GGGGGTGGAGCTAAAAAGAAGTCTAAGAGATTGGCAACAAAAGGGCGTTGACGGTATCAAGACTTAGCTGAGAAAGATCCACTCATTTTAAAAAAACTCTAGAGGTACATGAACATTATAATATCATGCTTTAATGTAGTTGCGTCGGTGGCCTAGTAGTTAGGCTACCGGACTCGTAATCGTGAGATTGCAGGTTCGGGAGTTCGAGCCTCAGCTCGGTCCGACGTTGTGTCCTTGGGAAAGGCACTTTACACAAATTTCGCACTTTGCTCGGTTCTTTCGGAGATGGACGTTAAACTCGGAGGTCCCGCCTCTTAAATAACCTAACAGTGTTGATAGGGGCGTTAAACAAAATAATACCATTTGCTCTAATGTTCTTGTCGGTGTGTGAAATTTTTCAAGATAATATATTATTATATCATCTCTTTTCTTCTTATCATCTTCTCCGTAGTCTATCTATCCTTGTCTTTCCACTTCGGCGCAAATATTCTGCCTTCTGAACGACCATTTTATTTCTAGATCTAGTGAAGCAGTAAAAAAGATTTATAGAAAACAAAATTAAAGTTAAAAAAAAATAAATCACAGACTCTCCCCCGATTGCAATACACATGTCCAAAGCTCATTGAGGATGCTGTAAAACATAGATAATATGCAAAAGTATCATTTTTGTGCTATTTTTATTATTATTAGTAGTAGTATTAGTAGTTGTAGTAGTAGTAGTATTATTAGTATGAGTAGTAGTAGTAGTAGTAGTAGTAGTAGTATTAGTAGTAGTAGTATTAGTAGTAGTAGATCTAGTAGTAGTAGTAGTAGTAGTAGTAGTAGTAGTAGTAGTAGTAGTAGTAGTAGTAGTAGTAGTAGTAGTAGTAGTAGTAGTAGTATTGTTATTGACGAAAGAAAATCAATGACGAGAGAGTCCTGATTCAGATGACCAATACCCAGAGTCATGAATAAACAGCTATGGTGCAGTTGGCTTAAAACTTGGCCAACATGCTGTGGAAGTCTGAGAATTGAGACCGGCGGTCATCTGTCCTGGGATAATTTCCTAGCAGCCCAGGGTCAGCTTGGAGGGGGGGAGGGGGGTAGTGGTAGGGGGGAGTTATGTGCACATAATTTCAAACGACTTATTTGTGTCCCGTTGAGCGTAAAAAACTGCTAAAAATACCAGACAATTATTATTTCTATCCATGTTCATCATCATCACCATCATCACCACCATCATCATCATCATCATCATCACCATCATCACCACCATCATCATCATCATCATCGTCGTCGTCGTCGTCGTCGTCATCATCATCATCATTATTTTCATTTCGTATGTTAGAGTGTGTGCTTACCTGGCGTTGCACAATGTGTCTGTGACAATCACTTTTTGCCGTTTATCCCAAAATGAGTTGCCTCTTTTTTCTCTCCAGGGGCTTCTGCCTTCTTTTACTCGTCTACAAGGGCACCGAAAAAGGAAACATTCCACCGTCACTTATTAGAAAGCGTCCATACATACTACATGTAATTTATATCCACAAAGACGTACACACATGATGTTTGTATTTTCTGGGACATGTTTAGCGAATTGTGTCCTCCTGGTGTTTTCCAAAATGTCTACCGGCAGTTGTCACTTTTTTTTTTCCTTCCTGGGTATGAAACTCGGAGAGAGACAGACAGAACGGGCAGCCGAGGGATGAAGGAACGAGGTAGTTTCCTCCCTTCGAACAAGGGCTGGACAATACAAAAGTGTGATCCCTCGAGAGTGTGAAACGTCTCTTATCTGATCGCGAACGGCAACTCTTGTCGTTTTCGGCGATTTGTCGGCCCGTGTTGAAAGTGATGCCCCCTTTGTGTTCCCGCGACGGGCTAACGAGAGAACGGGTGACAGAAGGACAGACAGACAGACAGACAGGCAGACGACACTGGGAGAAGAGCCCGCCAAAAAGGCCCCGCCCCTAAAGGGGGGGTCGCTTCCGTTAGTTAAACCTGCAAACCTCCGCCGTCAAGTCCTGGAAACCGCGCCCCTTTCTTGTCCATATTTGGCCAAGGGGGGCGTGTCTGAGACTTCATTCGGTGCTTCAGTCTGCTTGACTTTCTTGTTAGTTAGATATTATGTCTCGCTTGATCGACGTTTATTTTTTTTTTCTTGTCGCCCCTCCCCGGCTGAGCGACATTGACGCGATACAAGCTTTGTTAGCCCAACCAACAGAAGCAGTAACAATAATAATGATAATAATAATGATGTTGACAGCAAGAGACCTTTGAGCGTGAACGTGTACACACAGGCCTGCCTGATACGTATACACAGACGTTTATAGAAGACGAGAAGAAAGAGAGGAAGGAACAGCCAAGAGAAGGAGAAAAAGAAGGACCGGGTATACTACGATATAGATCTACATGTTCAGTTTACATTACAATAATATTATCACTAATGGTTTGTCGTTCTGCCTGTTTGTATGCGTGTATGTCTGTCTGACAGATAGTCCATCAATCTTTTTGGTTGTCCGTCTGTTTGTTTATCCACGTTTCTCCCTGTTTCAACGAGACCAGATTATCCCCCCCCCCCCCTT